TTTTTTATTAATTTACATTCATTCCCTGAGCATCATCACAACATTCTAAATGTGGTTTCCCATCTAGAATATACTGCATAGTGGCTTAATAATGCATGTTATCATCCATAATATTCCATTTCTACTTTCATATATATGTTTTTTACCCCATGTCTAGCCCTCTGCCCTATTCCACTCTCTTATTACACTATCTCTGCTGTCTACAGTTGTCTTCAATCCCTTTTCCCCCAACATTTCATTGATCACACAATATCATAAGTAATCTAACTACTTTCAATAGCAAGATCAGCCGATGGTTTCAAGAAAAGCAGTTTTGAACTGGTAAGGATATTTCTTTGAAACTTAAAGCCTAGAAACAGGTTAGTATTCTGTTCAAATAGTAGGAACATGAATCTATTGATAGCTGAAGACAGGACAAAAATCCTTAAAACCGGACAACAAAGCTTAGAAGAAAAGCAGCAATATTTTAGTCAAGTCGTAGAATACTGTTTCATCAGTTCAGTCTCATGTACTTAATCTTTCTTCTGTATCTGTTGAGGTTCGATGTTCCAGATTGAAATCTGGGATGTAATACTCAACTCCAGCTTTTGGCCCTACAATTAAGTTGCCCATTTTCTTAGTTTCTGAACTCTTATTTCTGTGTGTCTGCATTTAATTTTACTGACATAGCACTCCCTTAAGAACTTCTTGGAGATCCGGTCTGGTGCTGGTAAATTCTTTCAGGTTTTGTTTATCTGGGAAAGTTCGTGTCTTTTCTTCCCAAATGAACGATAACCTTGCTGGGTACAGAATTCTCGGTTGAAATTGCTTTTCCCTTAATACTTTGAATACATTTTCCCATTCTCTCCTCGCTCTCATTGTTTCCGATGAGAGGTCTGCCGTTAGTCTGATGGGATACCCTTTGTAGGTAACTTGCCTTTTTTCTCTTGCCAGTCTTAGTATCTTGTCTTTGTCTGTGGTTTTGGTCAATCTGGCTATAATGTGTCTTGGAGAAGATCTTCTTGGGTTGATTCTATTTGGGGTCCTCTGTATTTCTTGGGACTGAATCTTTGAGTGCCTCTCCAGGTTTGGAAAATTTTCTTGTAAGATTTCATGGAATAGATTATCAATGCCCTTATGAGTCTCTTCACCTTCTGGGATGCCTATTATCCGGATGTTTGGACGTTTGATGGTATCTAGTACTTCTCGCATATTATTCTCAAATTTTTGGGCCATTTTCTCAGTCTTCGCGGTGGATTTTTCTAGGCCAACCATTTTCTCTTCTACATTAGAGATTCTATTTTCTGTATGATCTAGTCTGCTTTTAATACTTTCAAGGGAGATTTTGACTTCTTGTATTATAGCCTTCATCTCTAACAGTTCCATCTGATTCTTTTGTAAAGTGTGAAATTCCTCTTTTAGATCTAGCATGAATTTCCTCACCTCCTGGAACTCTTCAACTCCTTTCTCCTTCCTCTTCAGCAGTTCCTTGTCTCTCTTCTCTTCCATCTCTGTTAGCTTTGCCATTATGAATGTTCTGAATTCTTTATCAGACATTTCCATGATTTCCATTGAACTGTGTGTGGATAAAGAGGAGCTATCCTTTTCCCTTGTGGGAGAGGTATTTTCCTGCTTCCCCATATTTCTTGTGGTCCTGCAGCGATTTCTAGTCATCTGGTGGATGGTCGGTTTCTTCCCAAACACGCGAGTTTTGGATGCTGGAGGCCCAGTTATCAGTGGGACATCTTCCTTTCTCCCCAAATGGCTAGATCGCAGGAGCCATGGAGCTGTCTGTCTCTTGAAGAAGGGCTGTTCACGCGAGTTTTGGATGCTGGAGGTCCAGTTATCTATCAGTGGGACATGTTCCTTTCTCCCCAAATGGCTAGATCGCAGGAGCCATGGAGCTGTCTGTCTCTTGAAGAAGGGCTGTTCTGAAAACAAGGATAATCTTAACATAGCCAATGAGAGAAGAATTTTTAATTTCCATGTAGAGGATTGTGGGAGTTTATAATCTGGAAATATCTGTGGCTTCAGTCATTGCTCTAGTTAGAGACAGGTAAAACTGTACATAAAAATAGTTCCTCAGGAAGACATAGTAAAGGAAAAATTTTACTCACTGAATATGAATTCTTGTAAGACCACATTATGGTACTGTGCATAAAGAAAAAATTTCCAGGGCCAGCAGGTGGTGGTGCTGCTATGTTGCTAGACTCCCACATGACTGATCTCAGGTTGAGTCCCGGACTTGGTGACTTGAAAATCACACTGGATGCATGTACGTGCTTGCCCAAGATCCCAGGAGGAGAATGGAGGAAAAGGGATTGTGGCGTGGCCATTGCCCCCTGGGGATAATTTTTCACTTTCCTATTCATTGTCTATCTCGCTCTCTCTCTATTGAGCACACATGCCCTATGGCAAAAACTTCTAAAACAAACAAACAAAAAAAACAAAAAAAGAAAAAACAAAGGAAAAGAAATGTCCTAAAAAAGCAAAAACAAACCCAAATTGGAAAGAGATGCTTAAAAGAGAAGACATAGTAAATAGTAAAGTCAGTGATTTGGTGATTTATAAGTTTGATAAAGTTCTTGATTTTGTCCTTTAAATTCATTCCAAAGAAAGACTCAGCTCCTTATAACATTTTGGACTTTTCCTCTGTTATCTAGTTTTATACAATGAACAATGGTTATACTAATGTATAAATGCAATATAAAACATGTGGAGACAACTCTCTATCAAATAATTGGTGAATTTATACTTAAATCTGCTTATGTGTAAAGTAGTTGAATCTGAATTTTTATTCTTTTAGTTGGGGAATTTAATCCTAATATTCAATGTTATTATTGATGTGTGAACTTATTCCTGTCTTTTGGCTACTCTATTTTTTTTCCTAATTGTTTTATGTTCTTTGCTTCTATTTATGTCCTTTTAGTTTTCCTGGCATAGTATTCCCTTAAATATTTCTTGAAGAACTGGTTTAGTTTTGGTAAATTCTTTCAGCATTTGCTTATCTGGGAATTATTTTATTTCTCCTTCCCTTTGGAAGGATAATATTGCTGGATAGTACTCTTGGCTGAAATTGTTTTTGTTTCAGAGTTTTAAATATATCTTCCCATTCTTTCCTTGCCTGCATAGTTTCTCTTGAGAGGTCTGATGTTAGTCTAATGTGGTAACATTTGTATGTAACTTGGCATTTCTCTTTTTTCATTTTCAGAATATTATCTTTGATTTTTAGCAATTTGGCTGTGATGTGCCATGGAGAGGATCTCCTTATGTTGTATGATTTGGTGTCCTTTGTACTTCCTGGATCTGAATGTCTGTATGCCTTTCTAAATTTGAAGAGTTTTCAGCTAATACATCATGAAAGAGATTTTTATATGCCTTTACCTGTCTCTTAACCTTCTGGAATATCTATTATGCAGATATTAGGACATTTAATGGTGTCTAGGATTTCCTGTATGTTGTCCTGATTTTTAATGGTTAGTCTTTTATTCTTTTCAGTTCCTTGGATTAAATTGGAAGTTTTGTCTTCAAGGTCAGAAGTTCTTTTTTCCTGCCTGGTTTAACTTATTGTTGATACATTTGAAGGAGGCTTTGATTTCCTGCACCATATTCGTTGTTTCTAGAAAAATCTATCTGATTCTTGTCTATTTCTTTATGGTGTTCTTCCTTCAAGTCATGGAAGGATAGTCTCATTTCTTGAAATTTGTTGTCTGCTTTCTCTTGCCACTGAGTTTTGTTACAATGAATATTCTGAATTCTTTTTCTGACATTTCTGTGATCTCTTGTGTGTTATCCATTGTTGATGAGTTATTATGTTCCTTTGTTGGGAGGCATTTTCTGGTTTCCTCTTTTTTCTTTGGACTTTGCTTTGATTTTTAGTCATCTAGTGATTTATTCACATCTTCCTACATCTTCAGAATTTGTTTCTGTAGCTGTGTGCTCATGCACTTTCCTATGGTGTGAGTTAGCTCTGTTCTAGTTTCCCTCTTTAACTGTGGGTTTCCCTCTTTAACTGTGGGTGGGAGTATGGAATCCACAGTAGGAGTTTTGGGTTTATGTTTTCAAAGGAGGAGTTTCTCTCCTTTAGCTGCTGGGTAGGCTGTCAGGAGAGCATTGCTCCAAAATCTTACCATCTTCAGGTGTTTGTTACTATGTACCCAAACCTCTCTGCTCCCAGTGTAGCAGGAGGTTGAGTTTGACAGGTAAGATATTAAGTGGTAGCCCAATTCACATGACACATGGTTGGCCCTGAAAGTCCTCTTAACTGAAGCTATTTAGAATTTGACTTAAGTTTCATTGATATGCCTTCTTTCTCTTTTCCTAAATTTTTTTTCTATGTCATTTCAAACAGTCATCTTTATTCAAGTCTGAATGAAGGTCTTTTATTTAAAGATAATTTTCCTTTTAGAGTGATTCCCATACACTCTGCTGCAGATAGTTGCTGACGGGAGAAGTAAAAACTGGACTGAAGGAAGGAGAACAAGAGGATAGGGTGGGCCAATGTTTGGCCTGACACATACTCACCTCCCAGCTTTCTATACTTCAGGAGTGGTGCTTAGTGCTCCCTGACACTTCAGTGCTAAAACAGCAGGGCAGAGACCAGGTGGCTTATAGCAATTTTTTCACACATGTAACTAGCTTCACTGTTGGCCACAGTGGGATGAGCAGAGTTACTAAGGAAATTTTTGGTCTATTCTGTGCTCTAACCCTGAAGAGCAGGTGGATATTTCACAGTTACATGCAGGGAATTTCACTCTTGTACCAGCTTCCTACTGCAACCCAACTAGGCTCTCACACTATTTATCAGCTCAGCTTTCCAATCTTCCTTCTGGTCAATTTCAGACTAAATGAATAAAAATCTGTTTTTAAAAACCCTTATGTCCTCTATGGATATTGTGTGTGAGCAGGTACTGAGAAATGTGGTACATATGTTTTATAGATTTGGAAAATTTAGATGAAAGAATTTAAGTTATTTGCTCAAAGGTCCAAGAGTGGAACATGTTAACTAAAACATTCATCATGCCTTCTTTGGCAATACAGATAGAAAAATTGGATTGATACGTAGAAGATAATCATGGCCCCTGACCAAAGATAACATGCAAAATTCATGAAGCATGCTATATATTTTTTCTAAATTGTTCACAGAGTAATGATAAGTATTGGAGTTGGTAGATAGACTTATTACCCTGCTTTGATCACTAATCATTATAATAATATATCAAAAAATCACACTATATCCCATAAATATGTCCAACTATTGTATGTCAATTAAAATTATAATAAGCTGGACAAACAAACAAAAACAATGCACCAGAGGTGGAGGTGCATCTGATCCTTCATGCTGGACCCTGCACAATTTGACACTGAATACTTTTCCTACTCCAGCTTTATACCTTTAAAAAAGTTGAATTCCAATATCCAAAAGTTCAAGATTCCATATTTTCCTCAAATACTTTCTTTTTTTTTTCTTTTCTTTTTTTTTTGGAGAGGTTTTTGCTATAGGGTGCGTGCACTCGCCAGACAGAGAGAGACAGAGAGATAGAAAGTGAGAAATCACCCCTCAGAGGGGATGGCCACGCCGCAATCCCTTCTCCTCCATTCTCCTCTCAGGATCTTGGGCATGCACGCACACACGCCCAGCTTGAGTTTAAGCCACCGGGTCCAGGACTTGAACCACGGTTGACTACGTGGGAGTCCAGCGACATAGCCGTTATGCTAACTGCTGGCCCCCTCAAATACTTTCTGTAGCTACCTACTATGATGTTTTGCAGTTTAGGTGAAACTTGAGCAACAATAAAAACTCTTAGAAAGAAGTCTTGTGGTGGTCAGAGGGGAGGGGTAGAGGAACCCCTGGTGGTTATGGTCTATTGGAAATCATGACAAAATTTACCATTTCTATTGACGTAATGATATAACTACAAAGAAGACAAATTTGTGACCATTAGATATATGGTCTGAGTTCAATTTTCAGATTAGCCTCTTTGGATCCCTTTTCTCTAATCTGACTGTGGAAGAAGACACTATTAAATTTGTGGAACTATTCACTCATATTATAGTCTGTCTTATTTTTAGCCCTATGATAACTTTTTTTAAATTTTTGCTATGTCAAGGTTTTGTTTATTTCAGAGAATAATTCGCAAAAATTTATGATATAGTAAGGGGAAAAATGCAATTCACAAGCCATGTCTACAGTATAATTCTATAAATAGTTCTAGAAAAAGAAAGGTCTTCTCCATAGTGATTTTAGATTTGTAGGATACTGTGAATCTTGGCCCTAAGATGTTAGTAGGTGCTGTCTCCTGGTGATGGAGCCCTGGCTAGGTATTTTTTATTTTTCTTATGTGTTACTTTTAATATTTTTAAGAAGTATATATACATATTACATATGTGAGTATATGTAGGTGTGTGTGTGTGTGTGTGTGTGTGTATGTGTGTGTAGAGATACACTTTTTTTCCTCTAGGTTTTTACCATAGGGCACATGCACTCTCTGGAGAGAGACAGAGAGAGAGAAAGTGAGAAATCACTCTCTAATGGGAGTTAGCCACACTGTAGTCTCTTCTCTTTTATTCTCTAGGGATTTTGGGCACATATGCACATGTGCTTGACATGATTTTCTTTTTTATTTCTTAAATTTTTAAAATTATTATTTATATATTCAATTGCTATACATCATTTAGATTGTAAAGAGACTTTACTCAGCATGATATACACCTCACACCAGCTCAGTTGAGAATACTATAAACATCATCAACAGGTAGTAAACCATACTGTGTCCCACAAATGTCTTACTTCTCTATTTTCCCCCAAATTTCTTTTCCTACACTCTTCCCCTCTCCCACTCTCTGTCTACTTTGTCCCTATGTCTATAAAAATTTTCAATACTTTTATGTCCTCCAGTATTTCAGTCTCTACCATAGAGTGCAGACAGTCAGTATATGTTAAGTGGAGACATACAATATCTCTGTTTCATAGGCTGACTTGCTTCATTCAGCAATAAATCTTCCATATTTGTCCACTTTCTATCAAATGTCAGGGTCTTGTTATTTGTCATGGCTAAATAGTATTCCATGTAGTATATGTGCCACACTTTTTCAACCTGTTGGTTCCATGTCTTAGCAATCATGAATAATGTCACAATAAATACAGATGTGCAAGCACTTTTCCAACTGAGTGTTCTCCTATCCTTTGGGTAGATACCCAGGAGTGAAATTGCTGGATCATATGGTAATTATAGTTGAAGGTCTTTGAGGAACCTCCATATTGTTTTACACAGTGGTTGGACCAATTTACAGTCCCACCAGCAGTGTAGGAGAGTTCCCCTTTCACCACATTCCCACCAGCACTTATCATTTTCTCTTTTTCTTTTTCTTTTTTATTTTTAACCTTTGACATTCTTACTGGGATTAGGTAATATATCATTGTAGTTTTGATCTGCATCTCCCTTATGATGAGAGATGTTGAGCCTTTTTTCATATGTTGTTTTGCTGTTCATATGTCTTCCTTAGAGAGTTATTCAGCTCATTTTCCCATATTTTAATTGGGTTAATAATTTTCTTCTGGATAAGCCACTTGAGTTCCCTGTGTTTTCTGGTTATCAGTCCATTATCCGAGGCATAGTTTACAAAAATTTTCTCCCATTCCCAGGGTTGTTGAGTCACACTAATTACTGTGTCCTTTGTTGTACAGAAACTTCTTAATGTGATGTAATCCCTTTTGTCTATTTGGGGGATTATTGCCTGTGTTTTGGGGGTCTTTCTTAAAAAGTCTTTGCCTACTCCAGTGTCTCCCAGAGTCTCCCTAGTGTTTTCCACCAGCAGTTTTATAGTTTGAGGTCTTTGGTTTAGATCTTTGATCCACTTTGAGTTGATTTTTGTTAATGGTGACAGATTAATTTTTCTGCAGGTGCATGCCCAGTTTTTCCAGTACCATTTGCTAAAGAGATTTTCATTTTCCCACTGGATTGATTAGTACCCTTTGTCAAAAATCAGTTGGCTGTAGATTTTGGAGTTTATTTCTAGGGCTTCTACTCTGTTCCATTGGCCCTCACATCTGTTTCTGTGCCAATACCATGCTGTTTTGATTATCACAGCTTTGTAATATATCTTGGAGTCAGGAAGTGAGATGCCACCCACTCCACTCTTTTTGCATAGGATTGCTTTAGCAATACAGGGTCTTTTATGATTCCAGATGAATTATATGATTGTCTTTTCTAGATCTGTGAAGAATGTCTCTTGTAATTTTATAGGAATTACATTAAATATGTAGATTAATTTGGGTAGGATTACTATTTTTATTATATTAATTCTCCCAATCCAGGAACATGAGATGTCCTTTCACATTTTTGTGTCTTTTTTAATATTTTCATAGTCTTCCTTATAAGGTCTTTGACTTTCTTGGTTAGTTTTATTCCTAGGTATCTTATACTTTTTGTGGCTATGGCAAATGTGATTACTTTCTTTCAGTTATGCTTCTGTCTACTTGTTTGTATATAGAAATGCCATAGATTTTTGTAAGTTAATTTTGTATTCTGCCACTTTACTGTATGCATTTATTCAAGAAGTTTATTTTGAGGATACTATTGGGTATTCTATGTATACAATTATGTCATCTGCAAACAGAGATGATTTCAGCCCTTCTTTACCTATTTATGGGAATGCCTTTATTTCATTCTCTTGTCTGATCACATTGGCTAGGACTTCCAGTACTATATTAAATAGGAGTGGAGAGAGTGGGCAGCCTTGTCTTGTATGTGTTTTTAGTGGAAAAGCTTTCTGCTTTTCCAGCCCTGTGGTAACTTTAAGGAGTTTTTTGAAGAATCTGGACTGTGTGACTGCTCCAGAGACAAGCCAAGCAGTCACTTTTAATAACCTCCCGGTGAGTGTCATGAAGGCAAGGATGAGGGTGGATGATGTTAGCACTGTCTTTCTATTGTACAACTGCCACTGCGAAGATAAGCCAGGCACCTGTCTCAAAGTTCAGGGCTCTAGAAGACGTTGTTTCCACTTTGTGGGATCATCTTCAGCAGAGGACAATTTATTTGAGACTAAAATAAACACTGAAAACACAGTTTCTCCACTTCAAGAAATATGCATAACCCCATATAGATGACATTTGATAGTTTTCTCTTTTGTATCAGATGAATTTTAATTTTTCTGTAAAGTCAACAGGCATGATGCTGAAATACTTCAGTGGATACTCATTGACCTGAGCTACCCAAAGTGTATTCAGCAAGGGCAAAATCTGTTTCAGATGAGTCTCTGTTCCCATTCTGCCCCGTCAGCAGGGAAGAAAGGGGACAATTATTTGGTGATAATTACTCTGACGGTAGTAATCTCTGGCAGCTGCTGGAAAAGAGACATAATTGCTTCCTACCACCCCCTAACCTTTTAGAATAGAGCTCTGAAAGCTTGATAAGAGGGGCTGGAGATGTGTGAACAGTCTTGAAATAACTTTCTGTCCACTTCCATCACTCAGGCTTTAATTAAACACAACTCATACCACTTCAGAAACTTGACATGAAGCACGTTTAGGAACATTATAAAGGGGAAGTGTTGTACTAATGTTATATGTTGCTATACACTGTGCAGTTCCTCTTATCAAAGTCAGGAGTCTTTCAAGGCTGCTGCCCTCAAAGCCTACTTTTTCTTCCTGGGAGGATGGGGATGGAATTGCAGAACAACTGGATTTTCTTCTAGAAATTTTGAAAGAGGATTTTTAAGTGGAAGATGCGTGAGTAAATATGGGAGATAAAATTCAGATAAGTAGCAATGATTGACAATCTTATTTCTCCTTTTCTCTATGCAAATGGACTCTTGAAAAGTAAGAAACTACCTCATGCCTTTCTGAAAAGTAATATTTGTTTTTTTCTAACTTTCTGTAGAACTTATCTGTCCTCCCACTATAGGATTTGGGAGTAGAAGCATGCTACTTCAGCTCTTTAGTGTGATTTTTCTGAGAATTGAGGAAATATGGTGGTAAATGTAGTTAGGTTGTTGGTGACACACATTGAGCTGATTTCCTTTAACCTTATAAATAAGTATGCCTATTTTCATATATTATATGCAGACTTAGAATGCATTTAAAAATCTGAAAAAAATTGGGGACAGCAGGTGGCATGGTGGTTAAG